AAAAGCTTTTTTTAAAAATAAAATGAAATTTACGATTAAAACAATACAATACTATAATTATGATAAAACATAATCAGATAAAAATTTAAAAACGATATCTAAACTGTGCGACAAAAAATGATAAAGAAATATAGAAAATTTATTAAATATATCAAGTGAATAACCCGAAATGAATAATCTGAAATTTACGAATCAAAAACACGATTCAATCAGATAGAATTTTTTCCTATCTGATTCTATTAGATTTTTTAAGCAGGGCTATTATGATATTATTAATATGAATGAATTAATATGAACAAATTTATAAGCTGCTTCATTTTGAGATATGTGTAGTTTTTATAATTCTGAACAAATGTCTTCTTTATCATATTTAAAATTAACGAGTCAAAAAATATAGAGCTCTGAACTTACAGAATCTAAGTATCTGCTATATTTTTAAGATAACTAAAGATGTTCTCTTTTATGTGTAATAGGTCGGCGTACGCATATATTTTTGAATGTTGAATAGTGTATGTACATCTGCGCGTGCGCGTGTAAATATAATATGTTGGCACGTTGTGTGCATATATGCATGTTGCTGCGCGCGCGCGCGCGCGCGCGTGTGTGTGTGTGTGTGCATGTATTGAATGTGTGCGTGCGTGTAGTGACGCGCCGCACGCGCATGTTTGTGTGGAGGGGGGGGAGAGTGTGTGTGTGTACATACATGTGTATGCGTGGACATATGCATGTGCATGTACATGTGTGTGCATATGTATGTACATGGGTGCGTGTGTGCATATGCACATACACGCAGCACTAAGGGTATATCCATACAACTTGCATAGTCGCATAAACGTATGCATAAAGAAAATTATCCAATCACATTTTACGTGCAACTTTGTAAGAGAAATGCAATAATTTTCTTTATGCATATGTTTATGCGGCTATGAAAATTGTGTGGATATATAAGGCACCATAAAGCATTCAAGAATACATATGTATGTACATCTATTATATATAAAAGAAATCATCACATCAAGAAGAGATATAAGGTTACTCAGATTTTATGATTTCAAAGTTCCATGGTTCTTTTTATCTATTAGTTCTATGTAGATGTGGCAAAGGAAACATTAATCGTTAAGAACTATTTTAAAAATTACATACATCTCAAAAGAACAATAAATCGGCTAAATTTTCCGAAATGTATGAATTTTATTTATATAAGTGTAAGCATATTTCATTTTTATCTCTTTTATGAAAGAACCTCTACAATATCTCATAAAAATAAGCTTTTCATATTTATTAAGCCAAAAGATTTACATGTAAGAAAAAAAGAACAATGTATAAAGCTTGAAGCAATATAGTACAGTTTTTATTTCAATTTTAGTCCAAGATGTAATGATTTTTGATATATATTTATTTGATATATATTTGATATATATTTATTTGATATATATTTATTTTGCATGACATAGCAATATACATTTATTAATACTCAATTAAGTAATCATTAATTTCATGAATTCTTTAATTTAAAAGCATTATTATTATTCCATAATTAAAATTTTTTTGCTCAGTTATACTTTACAGCAAATTCTGTTTCATGTTGGTACAATTAAAGATAAAATTGATAATTCTGTCATGTCTTTGTAGCAAATAATATTGAAAACATAAGCGCTGTTATGAGAGAAGTGAAAACATGTAAGCAAAAAATAAGAATTGTTAAATGTAAATGGATTAATGAATGTTTTCCGAAATGAGCAAATATGTGAAATTAATGATTACTTAATTGAATATTAATAAATATATATTGCTATGTCAAAATAAATATATATCAAAAGTTATTACATCTTGGACTAAAATTGAAACAAAAACTGTACTATGTTGCTTCATACAATACATTCGAAATTGCACTGTACATACAAACGAGAGATCTAAACGAGAGATACGAACTGAACGTGTTATACTTCTAATTTCTTTTTTGATACAATATACTTCGCGATATTGAGTGTTTTTCAATAATGGAACAGTCATACGCACTGTAATACAGTAATACGCAGTGTCAACTCATGGATGAAACATTTCTTTTTCAAATAATATTTCATCCACGATACTCGATTTCTCATACAAGCATGCATATTATATCATGCTGGAATACATTGTATTATGTAAATATATTAATTAAAAGTTGCTGTTTGCGCTACAAACTTTGCACTAGAAATTAATAAACTTTTAATTAATAAACTTAACATTGTCATGCTGTGTTATTATTCGTTTTCTAAATATGGATTTATTTTTTAAGGTATCGAAAAGACATCGAAAAGGTATTTTGAAGATATCTAAAAGATATGTTTAAGACATCTAAAAGAAATTTTTAAGATATTTTTAGAGATATCTGAAAGATATCTTAAACTGTTGCAAGACATTTTTTAGGCTCTTAAAAGATATTTTTTTCGTAAAAAATGTAAGATATCACAACATATGAGTAAATATTTTTTTAAAATCTAAAAAATGTTTTTTTTTACTGGAAAAGATTCATTTTAAATACCTGTAATCAATTCTGCAATTATCTTCTATTAATTAAATTTGCTTTTAACACGGAACAAACCAAAAGATTTTCTACAAAAATAAATGTGTAATTGACTACTAGCAGTCTATCACTCAGTATTAAATATCCACGTAATATGGCAAGTGGGGATATTCCTTTTCTTTGAAAGGCCACGTGATTAGATAGCTATGTTTGTCATATATTTATGCCACCGCCTATACAATAGTCTATATACAAAGTGAATTACAAAAATCTGGATACACTCAAATCTCATAAACGATGCATTTTAGAAAAAAAAAGTTTCTTATAAAAGTTTTAAGGCTTAAAAAACGCATTCAACGATTATTTAATTTACTAATTATTTAATTTAGGATGGCGCTGTTAAGATCAGGTCAAGGTCAACATGAATTTTTTAAATGCAAACTTTCCTTTTTCATTATATATTTTTGTAGTTTATCTCGAGAGCTTTCCAATATATACTATAATTACTATAATATATACTGTAATTAAGTAATATACTATAATTAAGTTTATTCAAGTACTTTGCAAGTTATCAGGCTTGAAAATTACAATACCATCAGCATTAGCATTACGCAAGATGTCCAACTGATGGCTAAAACCTTTTAAATGTTGTTCAGGATCATGTCCTGAATAACATTTGTTAAGATCAAGATTATTGGAGATTGTTTTCTTATTTTCATTTTCGCATTAAAATCTAATCAGAAATGAATCGATGTCGATTCGATGTTGATTTTATTATTATTTCTGACTGATATTCTGACTAAAAAGATATCTTTTCGTATTGCCGAAAAGATAATTGAAAAAGATATCTTTCCGTTATTTTTATACTTTTTATCACTCGAGAGCAGGGTATCAATTGACTGTTTTACAACAGCCAAAAGTTACTTAATCGCTTATTCATTACATTCACATGAATTTATTCACTTTTTGTGTATTCATTCCTAAGGGAAATTTTACATAATCGATACCCAGATAGATGTGATGAAATTCAGTTTCTCGTGTTTGAAAATCATACAGGACAGAATAAAAGATACAGCATTATGAGAAATATTTTACTCGTGTTCTAATGAATACTAATAAAATATTTTTTGTAATCGTGTCTCCAAAGGAGATTATGATGAAAGATAATGACTCTTACACACAGGACATGACAAACATTGCAAGAAATGGGATGTATATTGTTAATCATGCAATTTTATTTTATTTTGTGTAAAAATTAATTTAGGAATTCGATGATTATTAAATTTATATCGTTATATTATATCAAAATACAAAAACTAAAAGAAGTGTTAAAGATGACTAAAAGATATCCAAAGAAGTCGTCCTTTAGTTATCATATGGATAACTAGCAGTGCGACATCTGTTGTCTTAATCATTTTTTCGTCGACTATTATATATTCTTTCATTAAAAGATATCTTTATAACAATTAATTTAGTTGTCTTTTAGTCATCTTTTAGACGACTTTGTGCTCTCTGGGAAGCAACTAATACTGTGCATACGAAATTTTATATTTTTCTGAAATGAAACATCAACAATGTCACATTATGTTGCAATCGGCTGTAGCAATAAAAGCTACAGAAAAGCTACAGAAAAACTAAGGAGCAAATTAATCAAGAACAAAATGTCGAAATAAGTTTTCATCGGTATATATTTATAACTTACACAATAAAAATAAAGATTCAATATAAAATAAATAATAAAAAAGAGGCTATGAGTCAATAAGTCACTTTAATGTTAATCCGAAAATAATGTGAAATTAAATTTCATAGAATTAAATAAACGTTTCGACATACACAAGATCATTATCAATCTCACAACGTACCGATAATTACGAGTATAATTTAAGTATAAAAAATAAAATTCTAATAATATTTAAAACCATGTTAAAATATTATTAATAATTATAAAATTCGAGGCAGTATTATATATTTTATATTAATAATGTTTAACATGATTTTGGATTTTATTAGGATTTGTATGCGATCTTAACTGTTACTACTTACAATTACCAGTTCTTTGTAATGTTAATTACCTTGTATACGAAATATTTGT